AGTTTACTGTATCGGTATTCTTGGGGTGGTCAGGGACAGAGGGAATGCTTGAGGCATTTGAGAAAAAGGAAATGACAAGTTTTATGGGAAAGAAGGCATGTGAGGAACCATTCAACTATATAATGTGACAAAAAACTATAGGGAATAGGAAAGTATCAAAAACTATGATGCCAGGTTATGCAAGGTCTTAACTGTACTAGGGATTTTAGGCCTACTATTCTTGTATGTACTAGTAGTAGTGTCATTAAAGCACTTGATTGACAGGGCTGACCAGATTCATTATTTAGAACTCAGTAGGAACCCAGCATAAACTGAAGGAAACCCAGGTAGGGATTACAGTCTTTTTTAAAAAATTAAATCTTTATTGTTCAAATTATTACAGTTCCTCTTTTTTCCTCCCATAGCTCCTCTCCACCCGGTTCCCTCCCCACCCTCTGCCCTTACCCCCCTCCACCTCACTGTCCTCATCCATAGGTGTACGATTATTGTCCAGTCTCTTCCCGCACCCCCCCACACACCTCCCCCCACCCCCAAAGTAGTCCACTCCCTTTCTATGCCCCTGATTCTATTATATTCACCAGTTTATTCTGTTCATCAGGTTTTTTATTCACTTGATTTTTAGATTCACTTATTGATAAATGTGTATTTGTTCATAATTTATCTTTACCTCCTTTTTTTTAAAATTAAATCTTTATTCAGATTATTACATTAGTTACTCCTTTTCCCATCATAACTCCCCTCCACCCAGTTCCCACCCCACCCACTGTCCTCATCCATAGGTGAACGATTATTGTCCAATCTCTTCCCTCACCCCACACTCCCCCCCCCCCCCAAGAAGTCAGTCCATTCCTTTTCTATGTCCCTGATTTTATTACAATCACCAGTTCATACTGTTCATCAGATTATTTATTCACTTGATTTTTAGATTCACTTGTTGATAGATGCATATTTGTTGTTCATAATTTGTATCTTTACCTTTTTCTTCTTCCTCTTCTTAAAGGATACCTTTCAAGCATTTCGTATAATACTGGTTTGGTGGTGATGAACTCCTTTAGCTTTTTCTTATCTGTGAAGCTCTTTATCTGACCTTCAATTCTGAATGATAGTTTTGCTTGGTAAAGTAATCTTGGTTGTAGGTTCTTGGTATTCATCACTTTGAATATTTCTTGCCACTCCCTTCTGGCCTCTAAAGTTTCTGTCTAGAAATCAGCTGACAGCTGACAGTCGTATGGGTACTCCCTTGTAGGTAATTTGACTGTTTTTCTCTTGCTGTTTTTAAGATTCTCTTTGTCTTTTGCTCTTGGCATTTTAATGATGATGTGTCTTGGTGTGGTCCTCTTTGGATTCCTTTTGTTGGGGGTTCTCTGCGCTCCCTGGACTTGGAAGTCTATTTCTTTGACCAGGTAGGGGAAGTTTTCTGTCATTATTTCTTCAAATAGGTTTTCAATATCTTGCTCTCTCTCTTCTTCTGGCACCCCATAATTCGGATGTTGGTATGTTTGAAGTTGTCCCAGAGGCTCTTTGCACTATCTTCATATTTTTGGATTCTTTTTCCTTTTTGTTTTTCCGGTTGGGTGTTTTTTGCTTCTTTGTATTTCAAATCTTTGACTTGATTCTTGTGATCTTCTAGTCTGCTGTTGGAACTCTGTATAATATTCTTTATTTCAGTCAGTGTATGCTTAATTTCTAGTTGGTCCTTTTTCATAACCTTGAGGGTCTCACTAGGTTTCTTGAGGGTCTCACTAAATTTATCGGCAGTCTCACTAGACTTATTGAGGGTCTTACTAAATTTATTGGCGGCTTCTAGAAAATTCTTGAAAAACCTTACAAGTGTGGTTTTGAACTTTAGATCCAGTCATTTGCTTTCCTCCATTTCTGTCATTTGTGACCTGTTTCTTTGTCTCCGCATTTTTTATGCTTCCCTGTGTTGATAGAGTGGCTTTCTGTGCTAGGTGTCCTATAGGGCCCAGTGGTTCAGCCTCCCCAATTACCTGAGGTAGGCACTCTTGGTGCAACCCTTTGTGGGCTTTGTGCACAGTCTTGTAGTTAAGCCTTGATTGTTGTAGGTATCACTGGGAGGAATTGACCTCCAGGCCAGTTGGCTGTGAGAACGAGCTGTGTCTGCAGTGGGAGAACTTCTGTGCTGGAGACACCTTTCTGGGGCAAGACTTGCTTCAGTGGGGCTTTCGTGCTCACTGAGTCTGCCCCCTGAGTGTGTCCCTAATGGATCTGAGGAGTTGTAATCTGGATGGTCCCACTCTGACCACTGGGTACACTGGCTCTTGGATCTCTAAGGAGGTGCTAATTTAGCCTCTGCCTGAGGCTACCCAGCAGGAGCCCAGCTGTGAAGCAATGCAAGCTGCTGTGGGGCCTTGGGCCTTCTTTTGGAAGTTCTGGGTTTCTCTGACCTGGCTGCAGTTTGTTAGGTAATTTTCACATTGCAAAGGGCCAGGCCATTCATATGCAAAAGCCACTGAGCACAGCTTGGATGCGGTGGGGTCTCTGGGGATCAACAGGGTGGAGCAAGCAGCTATGGCTGCTCCTCAGTCCTACCCTAAGAGGCCCCACTTCTCAGTGTCCTGGTAATCGCTGCAAGTACCTCTGAGAGAAAGCCGCCCTCGAGTTCCGACCAATGCCAGCCAGTCCAGTTTCTCCTGTATGAGCCTGGGTCCGCAGAGACTCGCCTGGAACTGGAGTTCAGAGCAGTCAGGAGCTTGAGACTCCCTACCGATTGAAAAAGACAGCCGTGTCCTCAGTTTTCAGCCCTTTCCATATGCGCCGCGTCCTCAGCTGCCAGCCCTTGCTGTGTGCGCCTCCGTACCTCTGCACTTTACTTCCGCACCTCCTCTGAGTCTCAGTGCTTTTCTCTTCCCTTCTAGTTGTAGAATTTCCACTCAGCCAGCCTTCCTGTGGTTTTGGATGATGTCTGTTTTGTCTTTTAGTTGTATTTTTGAAGTTGTTGTGAGAGGCAACAATTTCTGGTGTTTACCTATGCCGCCACCTTGGTTTCTCGGGATTACAGTCTTTTTTTTTTTTTTTTTTAAATATTTTATTGATTTTTCACAGAGAGGAAGGGAGAGAGATAGAGAGAGTTAGAAACATCGATGAGAGAGAAACATCGATCAGCTGCCTCTTGCACACTCCCCACCGGGGATGTGCCCGCAACCCAGGTACATGCCCTTGACCGGAATCGAACCCGGGACCTCTCAGTCTGCAGGCTGACGCTCTATCCACTGAGCCAAACCGGTTTCGGCAAGGGATTACAGTCTTAACTGAGTTTTTTGAGCACTGAATTAGAGCAGACTCCATAAACTAACAAATTAAGAACCAAGTAGAGAGGAATATTCATGGACAACATGTCTCCACCTATGTTTGCTGGGTTGGTAATGCATTTACAAAGTTGGGGCACTAGATGTGTTTGTTGTTTTTTTGCAGAGGTCGGGGAGTTGAGTTTGAGGAGACTGGGTTACGTAACTGAATATGTCCAGGAAGACAGATGGCTATTCAGGTCTGGGTTAGTCATGGAGAGGAAAGGAAAAGAAATAGTGTGTCCCTGGTAGCTCATTTGGTTAGTGCTTTGTATCTATATGCCAAGGTTGTGGGTTCAATCCCTAGTCGGGGCACATATAAGAATGAATCTGGATGCATAAATAAAAGGAACAACAAATCGGATGTTTCTCTCTGTCACCTTTGTAGGAGTCAAGTGAATGTGGTATTCTGAGTGGGATAGGTGATGGTAGAGCAATGGGGGTGAATACACAAGAAGTGGTAGGCATTTGAGCAAAGCAGGGAAGAGAAGGCTGACAATCCTTGGGATGACTTAAGGAAATGTATTTGTAAAGTAGCCATTCATGCAAATTCATTCTTGACTGATAAAATGCACCATTTCAAAATGAGGGTGTCTGCACTTTTCTGTTCCCATATAAGGTTCGGTCTGTGCAAAAGTAGTCTTCAAGCCAAAGTTACCATTGCATGACTCCAACATTAAACAGAAATGAACTTCAGTGGCTAGCAGCTTTTCCACTAGACTACTGAAACAGCCCCTCCCCACCATGACACTACAGTTGCACCCAGGAACTTGAAGATGACAGGTGTTCTTTGTTGATAATCTATTGTTTGTGGTCTTGTTTTGGGAAGAGCACAGGTGAAAGTGGTAAATTTGGTTTGGGATCCCAACTTGTGAATTCATACACATTTTTAAAAAATTATTTTTTAATTGATTTTGAGAGATTTGTTCTACTTATTTCTGAATTTATTGGTTGATTCTTGTATGTATCCCAACCGGGGATCAACCTGCAACCTTCATGTATCTAGATGACGCTCTAACCAACTGAACTACCCACCAGGGTTGACACATTATCTGATGACTCTTGGTAAAATCACTTACCCCGTATTATTTGAGTACACGATCTTCACCAATGAAATACAAATTCTTCAGGATTTTGTATTCCTGCCCCTACACTTCCAACTATAGTAATTTACAATATCCACTTCCTGTTGAATGTTCCAGCTAAGTGCTTCCAATACCTAGTTTTCTTTGTTTCATGTGCTATAGGTTTATCCCAATTTTTCAAATTTTTTTGTATTTCCTCACTGTTCAGTTTTGAAGGTAGTTTCCTTAATGGCAAGGATTCACCCAATCTCTTACTGAGTTAATATTAGTTGCAATTCTTGTTTTTTATTTTTTTAAATATATTTCTATTGATTTCAGAGAGGAAGAAACAAATGATGAGATAATCATTGATCTGCTGCCTTCTGTGTGTCTGCAACCAGAGCATGTGCTCTGACCCAGAATCAAACTGTGACCTGGTGACCTGGTTCATAAAGGTCGTTCCTCAACCACTGAGCCAGGCAAGCTGGGCCAGTTCTTGGGTTTAAAATAAGTTAAGGGTAACCGGTTTGGCTCAGTGGATAGAGCGTCGGCCTGCGGACTCAAGGGTCCCGGGTTCCATTCTGATCAGGAGCATGTACCTTGGTTGCTGGCACATCCCCAGTAGGGGGCGTGCAGGAGGCAGCTGATGGGTGTTTCTCTCATTGATGTTTCTAACTGTCCCTCTCCCTTCCTCTCTGTAAAGAATCAGTGAAATATATTTAAAAAATAAATATAATAAATTTAGGGATAGGGATGAATAGTAAAGGACAGACACATGGTTGGCTTTATAGGGAATGACTTTAAGAAGAAATGGGCCTGCAATTGGTGACTCATGATAAGTAAACAAGAAGCCGGGCAGCGTGGCTCAGTAGTTGATTCTGGTCAGGGCACATGCCCAGGTTGCGGGCTCCACGCCTGGTGGGGGGCGTGCAGGAGGCAGCCGATCAATGATTGTCAGATGTTTCTATCTCTTTATGAAGTCAATAAAAATGCATTAAAAATTATATTCCATTCACCTTTTGTAGAGAGCCACACCATGAAGAATTCTGCAGCTCTTTGTCTAAGCCCCTTGGCATCTAGTGTGTGCATATCTTACGTGGCTAACTGAATTAAAGATAAAAACTACCTCATTAGAGACCCATAGACCACCATCATTGCCATCAACGTTACTACTCAGCCGCTAAGCGGCATTTAATGGTTGGCTTCCCGCAATGAGACACAATTCATGTTCGTGGTGACGCAAGCCAATCGAAAAGCAGCTTTCCGCCAGCTGGCCCCTCCATCTGCCCTGAGCGGTGAGGGGCGGGGCCGGCGTGAAAGCGTCAAGTACTCCATGGCAACGACGCTCAGTCCAAAGATGGCGCCCGAATGGGGTAGAGGAGGGTCCTCGGGTTCAGGTCCGGGCCCAAGTCGGTGGCTTTGGAGCGGTTCTTTATGGGTCCGAGGCATTTTGCTCCTGTTGGGCGGGCTCCGGACAAGTGCTACGTCTATTCCTGTGTCCTTGAGCAGTGCCCTTCCCTGCCGGCACCACGTCCCCTCTGACACTGAGGTAGGGTGGCGGAGGAGCGGGGACGGGCCCGGTGAGGGTAAAGTAATACGGGAGGCAGTGGCATAGACAGTGGCTGGAACAGGGTGTACGGGAGCAGGAAGCGAACTGTGACAGGGCTGGGCCTTGCTATCAGCTCCCTTCCTGTGCCCAGCGAAGTGGTTGACTCGTCTTAGGCACTTGGAACATCACGTTCCTGTGCGGAGAGCTGTGCGTATAAGGTAGTCCTAGAGGGGTGGTTTTCAAATTTGAGCATGCCTCAGAATCACCTGAAGGGCTTGTTAAAACAAATTGCTGCCCACCTGCCCCACTTTCTAACTCATTAAGTCCGGGATGGGTCCCCAGTATTTGCAGTTCAAGTTCCCAGATAGTTGATGGTACTGCTTGTGCATTGACCACACTTCGGGAAACATTAAACGTTTGGGAAGGAATTGATTAGAGAATCGGAGGGATATTGGGGGTTCTGTGGAGACAAAAATCCAGGTTTATTTTCAAGTTACCTCATCACATTGCTTGCTTTACCCTGTTCTCCCGACCTGGAAGTACCTGCCTCCTTCACACTCCATTTTTCTTCCTCTCTAAATTCTTTCAGTCTCAGTTTAAGTTCTCTTATCTCAAGGCAGCCTGCTGAAACCAACCCCAGCAGAATGCTCTTTCCTTTTCTCTGGACGACTTATCTGTCGTCTCTTCTGTAACTTGATCAAGTACTGCTATGTGATGCTGGCTTATTTTTCAGGCATGTCTTGCCTTTGTAGTTAAATTGTAAGGTTCCTTAGGATAAAGTTCGTGTCCTATGCTTTTGATAAGGGTTAGCTAGCTAGCTTAAGACAGGAAGTGGGAGGGATGGGGAGGAGAGGATGGAGGCATTTCTGGCCTGAGCAATTAAAACAGCCATAAACCAAGGACAGAGGTATCTCTGGCCTGAGCAATTAAAGCAACCATGAGTTAGATCTAAAGCAGCCCTGACCTGAGCTGCTGGGAAAGCCATAAGGGAGATCAAAAGCAACACCCACCTGAACAGATAAGATGACCAAAAAGGAGAAGTGGACTTGGGGTCCTGGGAACTGATTACAAGGCTGAAGTCCCACAATGGGAAAGGCACAATAAGGGAAAGGGTGGTTTCTAGAATATTTACTACCTCAAGACAAAGAGAGACAGAGTCTTAGAATTAGAAATTTAAGAGGTAGTATCTACTTGCAATAAAGTTTCTGTACTTCTCATCTACCACCTTTTGTCCTTTGCTTCTTTCTTCGAATCTGTCTGGACAAGAACCTGATAAGGAAATCACCCTTGCACCCTGCTCACCAAAAAACCTCAAATCACTTTGATTCCTCCACAGTACTTAGCTCAGAGGGAGGGCCCACAACAATTATTCTTTGACGGAAAGAGACACAGTACTGGAGCAGGGCTGCATTTTGTGATTGGTTTTACAGTTTATCTTATTGCTTTCTCAGTAAATATTAACCTAGAAATGTTCAGTTCAGCCCAGTAATCTAAGACCACTCATTTATGTGGTAACTTCCAAAAATTTCTATGCATAATGTTCAACCATATGTGTCAAAATATTAAGTTTGTGGTTTGTAGTGGATAGTTTTTATCATGACACTGCATTCTGGCTGAATTGTTTTATTTTCTTAGTCTCTTAATAACTTTTTTTTTTAATATTTTTTTTTTATTGATTTTTTACAGAGAGGAAGGGAGAGAGATAGAGAGTTAGAAACATCGATGAGAGAGAAACATCGATCAGCTGCCTCCTGCACATCTCCTACTGGGGATATGCCCGCAACCCAGGTACATGCCCTTGACCGGAATCGAACCTGGGACCTTTCAGTCCGCAGGCCGATGCTCTATCCACTGAGCCAAACCGGTTTCGGCGGTCTCTTAGTAACTTTGAAGTTTATAATACACTAGAGGCCTGGTACACGAGTAGGTCCCTAGGTCTGGCCGGCATTCAGGGCCGATCGAGGCCTTCCTTCTGACTGCCGGCTGGTGCCTTCATTCTGCGCCACCTCCTTGTGGTCAGCACATGTCATAGTGAGCTCCCAATTGAACTCCTGTGGGGACAATTTGCATATTAGGCTTTTATTATACAGGATTAGTGTTGTCCATAATCACTATGCTGTGCATTAGATCTATAAGACTTATTTATCTACTGGTTGTAAGTTTGTACCCTTAATGTAACCCCCTGTTCTCCAACCGCTCTTTTTAAAAATTTTCCACAAAGCCTTGTGGTTCTCTCTTTCAATCTAGATTAAAATAAGAGGAAGTAAAAAAAAATTATAAGAGGAAGTAATTCAAAGACCTATAAAACCTCTCCTAAAAGGAAACTTAATAATATCTGTTTTCTTCTAGTGGTTGTTGCCAATGTATAAATCTCCAACTTATATGTGAACATCTCCATGAATAGGGGCACTATCTCCAGAGGCAGCCCTTATGTTTTTTGGAGATCAACATTGTTAAAATTTTTCCTATCATAAGAGCTTAAAACTCTTTCTGAAAGTTCCACCATCCTCACCTCCATTCCTGTTTTTGCCTCTCAGCTGAAAAACTTGGTAGTGATAGTGTTTCACGTATTAAAAGCAAGCTATTAAGTTCTTGAGAGTTCTCATTCCTAGTAAATTTTCCTAGTTCTTGATAGGGTACGTAATAGCAAGCCCTTATTAACCATTTTCTTTGCTTTAACACAAAGTATAGGGAAGAACCATTCATTGTACTCACTAGTTAAATGCTACAGGAAATTACCGTAACTTTTCTGGGTGGTGGTGGGGAACTATAAAACATTTTGACTCATTTAACTTGTTCTCAAAACTTCTGTGTTTTGTTTTTACTTTTTATTATATAAATTAAAATAAAACAACAACAACATAAAAGAATAGTATATTGAACTCCCATGGACCCATTCATTATCCAACTTCAAACTTACCAATAGTCATTCATTCTTGTTTCATGTACTTCTATCCATTCCCCATCCTTTCACTTGTTACTTTTTAAAGTTTGGAGGGTAGAATTTACATATATTAAAATGCAACAAATGCAGTCATGTACATTATGTAAAATTCACAACCTAGTACAATGTAGAGGATTTCCATGTCTTCAGAAAGTTTCCTCCTGTCCTGTGCCAGCAGTCTCTTGTCCATACCAGGCAATTATTATTATTTTTTTTAATTTATTTATTTTTTTGGTTATATTCTTTAGATTGTTTTTCCATGCATTTTACTATTTTCCCATGACATCTACCAGAGATCCACTTTATCTTTGCAATGGCTGTACATATTACATTGGATGGACATATGTGGATTTATTTAAAGAATTCCTCTCATGTAATCTTTTTACATTATATTTCATAGCTAATTATTGTTGACATGTAAGAAAGATATGGATTTGGCATGTTTATAGTTACACCTGGCTTCCTTACTTATATTTCTCATTAGGCCTTATTGTTTTTCCTTTGATTGTCTTAAATTTTCTATTTCTAGGGAGACAGTCATTTCATTTAGTGATCACTTTTTTCTCTTTCTTCTCAATACTTCTTATCCTGTTTCTCCTGTTGTCTTATGCTTTGATTAAGACTTCCAGAAGAGTGATCAATATCACCAAGCATGGTCATCTATGTAATTTAGGTAAAAGTTGATCTTTTGGGTTCTGGTATTATTGAGAGAGTTAAGTTATCGAATTAACTTGTGTAAAATGTGCCTCTTTTCAAGCACCACATTGCTTTCTCTTAACCTGACGACACAGCTTGTAGAAAGAATGTTCAAGGTGGACATTTTTCACTGCAGACTGCAGAGACAGAATGAGGAGGGGATGGATGCAATTTTGTAGACGGTCCTAATTTGCAGTTTCCAGCTTCAGACTGGTACTGTTCAATTCCCAATTTCCTTTTTCTCCCACCTTTTTCTTCTTCTTCCTCTTCTTAAAGGATACCTTTCAGCATTTCATATAATACTGGTTTGGTGGTGATGAACTCCTTTAGCTTTTCCTTATCTGTGAAGCTCTTTATCTGACCTTCAGTTCTGAATGATAGCTTTGCTGGATAAAGTAATCTTGGTTGTAGGTTCTTGGTATTCATCACTTTGAATATTTCTTGCCATTCCCTTCTGGCGTGCAAAGTTTCTGTTGAGAAATCAGCTGACAGTCGTATGGGTATTCCCTTGTAGGTAACTGGGTTTCTTTCTCTTGCTGCTTTTAAGATTCTCTCTTTGTCTTTTGCTCTTGGCATTTTAATTATGATGTGTCTTGGTGTGGTCCTCTTTGGATTCCTTTTGTTGGGGGTTCTCTGCACTTCCTGGACCTGTAAGTCTATTTCTTTCACCAGGTAGGGGAAGTTTTCTGTCATTATTTCTTCAAATAGGTTTTCAATATCTTGGTCTCTCTCATCTTCTGGCACCCCTATAATTCTGATGTTGGTACGCTTGAAGCTGTCCCAGAGGCTCCTTACACTATCTTCGTATTTTCGGATTCTTTTTTCATTTTGCTTTTCCAGTTGGGTGTTTTTTGCTTCTTCGCGTTTTGAATCTTTGACTTGATTCTTGCGCTCCTCTGGTCTGCTGTTGGGTGTCTGTATAATATTCTTTATTTCAGTCAGTGTATGCTTAATTTCTAGTTGGTTCTTTATCACAACATCGAGGGTCTCATTAGATTTCTTGAGGATCTCACTACATTTATCGGCGGTCTCACCAGCCTTTTCGAAGGCCTTACTAAGTTTATCGGCAGCTTCTAGACAGTTCTTGAGAGACCTTAAAAGTGTGGTTTTGAGCTCTATATCTTCCATTTCTGACATTTGCGTCCTGTTTCTTTGTCTCCGCATTTTTTTTATCTTTTCTTGGTGCACCCCCTAGTGGTCTTTGTTCGCAGTCTTGTAGTTAAGCCTTGATTGTTGTCGGTAATACCAGGAGTGATTTGACCTCCAGGCTAACTGGCTATGAGAGTCCCATACCAAGCAATTATTGTTCTGATTTTTATTTTACAGTAGATTTAGATTTTTGTAATAGATTCATTTTGCC